TTTTTGCACGGAGGGCGCGGCAAAAAAGCACGAACCAAGGCACCATTTTTGCACGGAGGGGGCAGCAAAAAAGCACGAACCAAGGCACCATTTTTGCACGGAGGGCGCGGCAAAAAAGCACGAACCAAGGCACCATTTTTGCACGGAGGGCGCGGCAAAAAAGCACGAACCGAGGCACCATTTTTGCACGGAGGGCGCGGCAAAAAAAAGCACGAACTGAGGCACCATTTTTGCACGAAGGACGCGACCAAAAAAGCACGACCTGGGACCCCTAGAACGCGGGACTGGACAGAAAAATTTGGCCAAAGTCGCGGTGCAAAAATGGTGCCTTGGTTTGTGCTTTTTGAATATAGAATCAATTAAAACCAACGAAAAAAAGCACGAACTAAGGCACCATTTTTGCACGGTGGGCGCGGCCAGTTTTCACAATTTCTTAGTGGCCAGTGCGCGGACTGGATAGACTGGAGGTGGCTGGGGCAGCTGAGGTGCGCGAAGCCTGCGCGCAAAAAACTTGATCTCCAGCCCACCTAACGGCGCGCAAACAGGGAAGTTGCCAAGATTGAGGCTGCACTGCGCGACAAAGCTTCTGGGAACAGCAAAGGTAGCCAGATTCACTGTGCCAAAAATTTTTCTGGGAGCAGCAAAGATTGCAAGATTCAGTCTCTACTGTGCGACAAAGCTTCTGGGAACAGCAAAGGTAGCAAGATTCACTGTGCCAAAAATTTTTCTGGGAGCAGCAAAGATTGCAAGATTCAGTCTTTACTGTGTGAAAAAGCTTCTGGGAACAGCAAAGCTAGCAAGATTTACTGTGCCAAAAATTTTTCTGGGAGCAGCAAAGATTGCAAGATTCAATCTTTACTGTGCGACAAAGCTTCTGGGAACAGCAAAGGTAGCAAGGTTCACTGTGCCAAAAATTTTTCTGGGAGCAGCAAAGATTGCAAGATTCAGTCTTTACTGTGCGACAAAGCTTCTGGGAACAGCAAAGGTAGCAAGATTCACTGTGCCAAAAATTTTTCTGGGAGCAGCAAAGATTGCAAGATTCAGTCTTTACTGTGCGACAAAGTTTCTGGGAACAGCAAAGGTAGCAAGATTTACTGTGCCAAAAATTTTTCTGGGAGCAGCAAAGATTGCAAGATTCAGTCTTTACTGTGCGACAAAGCTTCTGGGAACAGCAAAGCTAGCAAGACTCACTGTGCCAAAAATTTTTCTGGGAGCAGCAAAGATTGCAAGATTCAATCTTTACTGTGCGACAAAGTTTCTGGGAACAGCAAAGGTAGCAAGATTCACTGTGCCAAAAAATTTTCTGGGAGCAGCAAAGATTGCAAGATTCAGTCTTTACTGTGTGAAAAAGCTTCTGGGAACAGCGAAGCTAGCAAGATGTACTGTGCCAAAAAATTTTCTGGGAGCAGCAAAGATTGCAAGATTCAATCTTTACTGTGCGACAAAGCTTCTGGGAACAGCAAAGGTAGCAAGATTCACTGTGCCAAAAATTTTTCTGGGAGCAGCAAAGATTGCAAGATTCAGTCTTTACTGTGCGACAAAGCTTCTGGGAACAGCAAAGGTGGCAAGATTCACTGTGCCAAAAAATTTTCTGGGGGCAGCAAAGATTGCAAGATTCAGTCTTTACTGTGCGACAAAGCTTCTGGGAACAGCAAAGGTAGCCAGATTCACTGTGCCAAAATTTTTCTGGGAGCAGCAAAGATTGCAAGATTCAGTCTCTACTGTGCGACAAAGCTTCTGGGAACAGCAAAGGTAGCAAGATTCACTGTGCCAAAAAAATTTTTGGGAGCAGCAAAGATTGCAAGATTCAGTCTTTACTGCGCGACAAAGTTTCTGGGAACAGCAAAGGTAGCTTAATTTTGTTTTTGATTCCAGCTACCAAGACACAAGGATGAAGCATTACAAAAAACAATGACAAGCTTAAACATCAACAGAGGAACATCATTTTAGGACATGTAACAGGCATCAGCCCACCCCAGAAGCATAGACACCCCGCTACATGCGGAAGGTGTTTACACAAGGGAAGACACAGAGACAAGGCAGAAACATAACTCAAACATCACTTTTGAGCAGATTGGGTTTTCCTTCAAAACATACCAGATCTAAGCCCTACCTGATGTATGACCTAGAACGATCTCAGTGATAGACCTATCGACGATCATAACAGTTTCTACTCCAAAAAGATTTCAGACAGCATATACGCATACAGGTCGGACCGGTCGGACCTGCGCGCGGAACCCGCGCGCCACACACGCGCGGAACCCGCGCGCCCACAATCGCGCGGGTTCCGCGCGCGGACGTTTCGGTAGTAGTAGTCTTAGTAGTAGCAGTAGTCACGGTAGTCGTTGTCGTCGTTGTTGCAGTAGTCGTTGCACTACCACTACCACCACCACGACCACTACTACAACTACCAATGTTGATAGAGACAGCAGCTGCTACCACTTCGTGTGTGGCGCGCGGGTTCCGCGCGCGTGTGGCGCGCGGGTTCCGCGCGCGTGTGGCGCGCGGATTCCGCGCGCGTGTGGGGCGTGTGGCGCGCGGGTTCCGCGCGGTTTCTGTGCTAGTAGTATAGCACATACCACTCACAGAAATTGTTTCGGGGTATGGATCAGGGGGGGCTGAATCAAAGATGCTTTTTGAGAAGCAGATGGCAGTTGTTGTAATGACAGCAGCAGCACTAGTAGTAGTGGGGGCAGTGGTGGTGGTAGTAGGAGGTTGTAATTCTAGTGGTAGTAGTAGTAGTAGTAGTAGTATCACTCCAACATGCCCTCACCCACTGCGCGCCTATGCAAAATCAACCATACATGATCTATCCCTAAAGAAAGGCAAGCAAATTTGGCAAGCGTCTGCAGAGCCCTTCGCGCTCCAAACTCAACATAGGCAGTGATGTGAACAAGTCCTTGAACTCTTCCTCAATCAGATTGAGGGCGATGGATGGAGGCATCCATGAAGCAAGAGACAATTGACAATTGAAATGATGAAGTGCTTGGCAATTGATCTGTGATGTGAAAAATTTGCTGCCACTTGATCATGTGAATCATGTGGGTGAATGTTGCTGTCAAAGCCCAACTGCTGCAACCATGAAGGCAATGTGTCAATGAGCAATATTGCAAGACCAAGCTCACAAAAGGCCCACAAAAGCAAGACCTTCACCCCCCAGACGCCCCAAGGCCCCTGCAACAGTCATCATTGTAGTAGACGTGGCGCTACACCAGGCCTCAACAAAGTGCCAAAATACCAACACTAGGACACTAGGACCTAAACAAAGTTGAGCATAGAAGATGAAAAAGGATAAAGTGAAAAGCTGCCATGGTCCATGGTGATGATTGCCACTCTGAGATCCAGGCCTCAACAGTCATCCCATGGCCCCATCACCCACTAATTGCAAATTGAAAATTGAAAAAATGAAAATTTGAATTGTGCAACCAACTGCCAATTGAAACTTGAAAAAATCAATGAACTACAAATAGCAGCAGTGAGCAAGAAGGCCGGGCAAGAGTAGCAGCAAAAAGGGACAACACTTGGTGCACTTTTGGAGGGTCTGTTTTAAGGAAAATGTGTTTACTGACTGTTACAGCTATTAGGCAGCACCCAATATATATTTATATTATAATAGATAAATTGAAAGGTTCCTAAGAAATCCTAAGTGTGGGTCCCAAGTGACCGCAACAAAAAGAATCTTACTTTAACTGCTAGTTTAACTCCAACCCCAAAGCCGGCTGATAAGAATCAACATGTACCACAACCATTGTCACCTACTTCCAAGATCTGGGAAGCCACCAACATCAACAAAAAATCAACTCAATAACCCTGCACCTTCAAAGCCTTCAAACATCTATGCCTTCAACTTGACGTTTGCACCAAACAACGGAAGTCGACGTTCCAGCTCTGGTGCGTCTGAACACGCGGAAGCCCACCCCCTCACCATGGTGTCCGACCGTGAAAGGCCGCTGGGAGATCCGGACGGTCCACAGGAGCCGCCAGCGCTGCAGCTCGGACTTGAGCTTCGTCGCCGAGTCCTGCGGCGAGGCTTTGGCGCAGCGCGTGACGGGTGGGGTAGGGCGCAGCAGAGGCCGTGCTGGTTCGGTTTTGGAGGTTTCTATTGGCCGAAACCGTCCAGAGCGGATGGTAAAACAGCTCTGCAGTGAGCGAGTGAGCAGCTTCAGGAACTTTAGGATAGACTTCCCCACACAAAAAAACATATCTTTCTTCCACACCCATCCGCAACCAGGAACCCACAGTATTGACAGAGTGTAGGAATTTGTCATACTTCGTCCATCAAAAAGTGAAAACCAGTGGGTCCCACCGTGCGGATGCTTCTCACGCTTGTGTCCTTCTCACCCTTCTCACTGAATGTGTGAAGGAATTCATGGGTTGAAGTTGTTTTTTGGGGCACTCGGTGTAAAGCCCGTAGAGCTGTTGAAAAGTGAACATCTGAAAACCTATACCTCTGTCGCATCCTGTCGCCTGACAGCCCCCCCCTCCTTCATTGATCGTCACCTTCACCCACCTTCACCCAAAGGATCAAACAGAAAACGTCACCCACCTCTTTTTCACCACATTATCCTCGGGCTGGTCACCCCTTCACTCAACACCCTTTCACCACTTCCTCGCTCCCCAAACACCGCAGAACCATCGACCGCAGATCGGCCTCTGCTGCGCTCTTCTCCTCCAGCAGCCGGCTTCGCTGCTCGTAGAGCTGGCGTCAAAGAGGCGACGCATCCGAGCAGCGGACGGGAACGCGGACGGGAAGGCGGCCAGCGGTGGGCACCGTTTGGGGAGGTGGCGAAATCAAGGGGGGTGGTGTGGAGAGGTTTTGGGGGAAGCGAACGGTCTTGTATTTTGAGACTATACTTACAGTATAATTAATAAGACTTGTTGGCCACAAGACATTATAAGACTACTTGTTCCAAAGACTAGACTAGACTTATTTAATCTATTTAAACCTATTTAAATCTTATTAATATAAACTTTTTGAGGTTGGTTCATGGCCTCTCCCTCCCCAAAACGTCTCCAAGGCTTTGGCCTCCGACAGCCATGGCAACAGCTGCGAGACGACGCCCTGCAGCTCCGCAAAGGACTTCGCCACGTCTGCCTGCCAAAAGTGTGTGGACAGTGGACACATGTGGACACATGGACACCAGAAGGACACGAATCAACCTCCAGAACCAGGAATTGATGGCTTTGTTTGGAGATTGTATGTGTTGGATAGCCCTTAAGAGACCGGAAGTCTGGGGAAGTGTACTATTGATCCCCATCCACTCCACAAAACCTTAATTGAGGTCATGGCTGCCCCTGAAAATCATCACAGCCCCCCAGCTTCGCGACTGTCTCGGGCTAGGCATGGCTGCGCAACCCAACAAACATGAAACACCTCTTGGGCTGCGCAAACCCTGTCCCACCTGTTGCTTCTCCAGCTCGGCACGCCGCTCAGACTCCGCCCGGTGCTGTCGATACTCCTCCTGCGCGGTCGGATCGGTTGGAGTATCGACACGAAGCTCGGCCGGTCGAGGGCGGTCGAGGCTTTGCTCAAAACCCCAGAGCCAAACTTGCAAGTCTAGGCTTGGCTGGTAAGAACTTCGGTACCATCTGAATACCCCAGGGTTTACTTGCCAGTTTGCCAGTTGCTTTGGGCGACAGGCTTTGCCTGTTGGGGCTGTTGGGGACCGACTTCACTACACCTGGGCTTCTTCCACTTCCAAGACCTCTTCCTCTTGCGGAAGAGGTTTATATGAATCAAAAAACAAACTGTCAGACTCACTGGAAAGTAAACAAACAACCATCAAACGCCAGTTTCAACTTGGGTGTGTTTCCCACATCATTTCGTGCCAATAGCTAGACAAGGGGGTTCACACTTCCCTTGGAGCACAAGCCCTGATCGCAACCTGCTTCTCCTGGACGACCAGCAACCGAGCAACCACACAGCTGCACGGGGACCCTCCAGGATAGAGATGAATAGCTACGGTTCTTGGACCAAGTGCCGCTGAACTGTATTCACTTGTTAACTATGAACCATGTTGAAGCCTAGTTTCTGAACCTGGCAGTTTCAAGAACTTTGCGCAGATGCCATGTTCTTTTCTTTTCCGATGCGGACCCGATAGGCTGAGCACAAGCACTAGATTCACTAGATGCGTGAAACAAGACACTGCGTGGCAACCGTCCCGGTCCTCGAGCTTCTCCCTTGCCGCCTGTGAAGCAAGTGCCAAATACAAAGATCAAAAAAGCATCAAGTTAGGCGTTTCTTCACCGCCGTCCTTGAAGGGCAAGCCGGTCCAGCTGGATGTTGGGTTGCAGGAGTCCATAGCTGCCATAGCTCTTAGATGCTCTTAGGTTGGAGTCCCCGTGTTTTCAGGACCAATGCCCTTTTCGGAGCAGGCCGCCCGGGCCTGGCACTCCGCCAGCTGCGTGCTGAGATCGCGTCTTTTGCAGCCCCATGCCTGGCGCGGAGCTGTCGATATAGTAATATGGTAAGTGGGTGCATCCGCATCCCTCCATCCAACAAACATGCAAGTGGACAAAGTCCTGTTTGTAGAGGATTTCAATGGATTTCAGGGTCTTTCCAGCAGCCATGCATGTCCATGCATATCCATGGATTTCCACTTCCGTGCGAACTTTCTTCGACGGAGGTCCCATCGCCGCCCTCCACGTTCGGAGTGCCACCGGTCCCTGGGTTCCCTCCTGGCCTCCTGATCTCGCTCCAATTCATCCTTCCTCATCCGGAGCTTATCCACCTCTGCCTTTCCGGGCACCCCACACGCCAGACGCGTCACGCGCTGAAGGTCAACGGTGAGAACTGGTCCTGTGAATATCTGTGAATGCAGGGCCTGAAATCGGCCCTTTCTCCCACGCATCGAAGGCTTGAGGTTGGGTCCACACCCCTCAGGAGGTTGGGTCCCAAACCTGATGGCATGGACGACCAGACTGGAAGGACGATTTGCCCTACAACCAATGTACAGATGTCTTCAGGTTTCATTCTCTTCCAGACCTTACCTTCAGACTTGGAACTGGCTCCTTTTCTGGATCCTTCGCTGACCCGGTGAAGGCGCTTCTGGAGGCTTGAAAACCCAGCAAAAACTGCCTCAGTGATGTCCTACTTCTGGATTGATGTTCCAGGAAAGCACATATTGTTGATGAGTTGTGGATGATCTCATGATGATCTCCAACAAATGCCCCAACATCAAGTGCTCAATGATCCCCCACCGATTTGCAAGCATCAACTCGCATAGATACAGCTTAAAGTATACCCCAAAGCTGGCCCTGTGTCCAATTGCTCCAACATTACACAACTGCAAGTCGCATGCGTCCGCACATGCCATACCCACTCGCGTGCGCAGCGCACCCAGCCGGGCTTACGGAATCCACCTGCAGATCCTTCACCCGTTGCTCCAGGTCAGGTCGACAGGCAGCACCCGCCAGCGCCTGTCTTCCAAGCTAAGCAGAGTCGCGCGCGTCGTGCACCGCGCGAATCGATTGACCGTGTGAGACATGTCGGCCTCACAGGAATGAGGCTGTAGACTCTTGATGAATGATACACCCTGATTTGAATTGTACAGTACAAACCTCTTCATATCAAAGGGGGTGATGAATCAGTCAGTGGTTAAGGCTGCACTCATGGCGCAACGTTTGAGAAATCGCTTCTCAGGAAATGTTCATTTAATTGTTGCATGATGTTGCAAATGTTTTGATGTGTGTCCTTCCTGATGATTTTGATGGTCCTTTTTTGAACCTCAATGAAACTGTTAACAGCCAACACACATGATTTTATTGAGCAAGCCTTTGACCTCCCAACACACAAATTATACAGAGGTCATCGTGTTCTTTTCTTATACTAAATGAGTCATATACAATGACAAAAGCGTGCTTAACCACACCCATTTTGGATTGTCGGTAACAGGCCATTCATGTAAAATCTTGATTAATAAACAGCCCCATAATATAAAGAGGCTGGTCAATCCAAAAGAGGGGGTATGAATTATACATAGTTTTATCATATATGACAGGAGAAAGGAGATGAAACTGAACCAAGCCACTCAGCCCCGAGGGTTCCAAGAATTCTGGAGCCGATTGCACACCCGTACCACCGAAAGTCCTTCCTCACCTTGACCACGCTTTCCTGAAAACCCTGCTCCGCCCCCTGGCCTCATTCTCTCGCTCTAACTCCTCCTTTCGGTGCCGAAGTTGCTGTACGTCTGCCTGCGGACATCCGAGGAACTTCCGACCAGCGCGAAAAGACGGGTGGACTCACCAAGCACGGCAGCTTGAGTCTGTACTCTGGCGGAAAGCTCATATCGAAAGGACGCTTTCCTTTGGGGTACACTCCGACTAGCACATCACATGGAAGTGGATGGCATGGTCCGTGGGATGGCTCTTCTCCTCTACAAACAGGTGGTGCCATGTGGTCTTCCATGTGATGTGTTCGTCCAAGGGTAGGTCATGGTAGGTCTGCACTCCGTTCACGTCCCCACCCTCGCCACCGGCCGTGGCCCAAAAAAGGCAACCACCCGTCCGGCGCGCGCGGCGGAAGGTCACGGGGCCTCCAGGTGCGAGACCTTCAGTGCCAGCTGCGCCGAAGGCTGTCCTTCCTCCTTGAGGTCAGCTGAGGTATGTACTCCCAGAGGTACCCGAAGACGACAGGGCTGGGCTGAAGAGCTGGGACATCAGAATCCGAAGATACACATACTCCACATCAACGCCATATGCATTCTTCTTTCAAAGATTGAACACCTCATTGAGACAAACTAGGCAGAACCACTGGCAGAGCACATTATTCATCAGCCTATCTATATATGACTGTAAACTATTCGTTGGCCTTCATGAAGTTGCCCATACAAGTCTGCACCAGGTCCTTGGACAAAACCCTCTGCAGAATAATGTAATACATATTTGGATGATTTTGGATGGCACTTGGCACACTTTCGGATATAGGTAGAAACGCGGCCACACGCTTCCGACGTGACACACGTCCCGTCCAGAATGGCTGTGACCCTGGTGTCGTAGCCATTCTTCTTCACCTGCCATTGTCTTTGCGTGGCGTGGACCAACGACCGCTATCGACGAGCGCCAGCGCTGGCGTCCCACCGATGACGTCGACACCGTGGTGGATCGTCGTCACCGTCGTCATGGTTTCGTCTCGGAAACGCAACTAGATCATCTTGTGTGGGAGACTGGCAATTCCTGCATTGAACCGTAGCCGTTGAGCTGTGGCATTGGAGAAACTCGTAGTCCCCCAACCATCTATTTTGTAGGGTACTGTAGCATGGGGTAGCTACTGTTTGCTGGCACCCGAACTGCATGATTCCCAACTCACTTCCAGAAAGGTTAGACGTGACTTGCTCCTCAAAACTTCTTCATCATTTATATTCTCTCTGTGTTAGCTTGAACCCCCCAAAGTGGCTAAGGTATGCTAATGCTAAGGTGTGAACCCGGACGAAAACAGCCTCTTTTGCCACTACAGCCTGGAGGAAAGGTCTCTGCCACACGTCGCGCATTAAAGGCCGCAGCGCGGCAGGGGGCCCGTAGGGCGTACATTCATTGGTCTACAAGACGGAAAGGATCCAAACACAGTGACTTCAGCATGATGAACCAGAGAGTTCATGAGCAGATCAGGACGATTCTTCCTGAAGCTGAGCAACAGAAGAGCCGTTTCTTTAACATTATTTAACTGAGTTTGATGAAGAGATCTGTGAGTGGATTTCTCTGTCGAAGGACCTGCAGAGATCTGTATCCGCAGCATCCGTAACTGTCATTCACTGGCCTACAGAGGGCTTCTTCAAACGAAGGCTCGGCAGATTAAGGCGTCAGAAACCCACACACCATGTGTTCAACGGCAAGGACAACGAGTCTCTGAGAGAACATCAATGTCTGAACGGACGAAGAGCGCATCTGTACGCCGTCAGCCTATCGGTTCGTTACTCCTGAACGAAAGCCCCTCTGGATACTGAATTCGTCAAGCAGCTTGTCGTATGCCCGTCCTCCGCTAGCTCGATGGGCTGAAATCGACTTGATCAGGGGCGACCGTGCTCGAAGGTAGTTGCACCCTCCAGCCATCCACCCGCATCTCAATCTCATGTCTTGAATCCGTGGAATCCTGCTTTAAGTCGAATTTCTTCTCATGAAGCAGCTTTGAACAAAGAAAAGAATTGCTTAAAGATGCTTGAAGTTTAGAGTCACACACCTGGAACACCCAGAGCGCGCAAAAGGAACCATAAGATTTGTCACATGTGGGCATACGATTCACGGTTTAAAATCACCCAGCTCTTTGCTGTACGACTTCAGCACTGTGTCGTCGTCCAGCACGCCGCCATCCGACTAGTCAATCCTGTGAAGGCCCAGTGGAACTCCACAGCAAGCAGTGATCCAGTGGGTGTGAAAAATCCCGCGGACTGTCATTCACCCTGTGGGTTCGACCATTTCCGGAATACCAACCCAGTGGTTTTGGGGTTTACATGTCAGAGAAGCAGGGGAGTATCAAAATTTGGTGGAAACATCAAAGACCAGCAGCAGAATGGATGTTCATCCTCCGATATCCTCTGCACGTCCGGCCAGTACAAAAGAAAGGTCTAGGCTCATCATTTGCACCCACTAAATGGCCCTACCAGCGAAACCTTGGAACTGTCTGGACACCTGTGGATCATCAAGGGCACTCTGCATGTTTTCTTGGATTCAGCACCTACCATGGACTTTCTTCAAACGCACCGCACCGCGCCCCCAGGTTCCACGCCCGACCGACCTGGGAAGAACCTTCAAACCGGTGCATTTCAGTGCCGTTCTTCGCCGTGAAATCTCCATCGAGGTCGGGGAGAGACGTCGGCGGTCGCTTAGCTTCAGACAAGGTGCCAGGCACGCCACCAAGTGTCGCTCATAAAGGCGCAAACTCAGGTTCCTCGGAAGAAGGGCATCAACAACGTTGGCTACAATATGCTACAAGAAGCGACCAGGCTTGGGGTGATCTCATGTACTTTTCAAGGTTTTGAACACGAATGTGAATTCTTTTTCACAAAAATATGCCTGAAAAACCTCCTTGCGTTCCTTTGACAACTCCTGTGTACCTTTCCATGCCATGTGTTCGTGTTCTGCCTGTTCTTGTAGCAGAAATTTGCCGGCCACTTGTGCAGAGCCCAGCAGGGTTTGAAGGGCTCCACTTTCGTTCGATGAGGAATCCAGCAATATTCGTCACACTCTCCGGTTGAACCCTCCGTTCATTTCTGGCTCTGGCGGGCGGATGTTCTGGCTGTCCGAGAGGGAGTGGAAAGCGGTGGAAAGGATCAGGTAAGAAATCTTTGAAGCACATCATCAAACGAAAGGGTGGAGACAAGGAAGCATTCTTAAATCACCCCTTGGTGTCAGTTCCACTCCCCAGAACACAAGCCAGTAACATTCGTAACCACGCGTATTTTACAGTTTGTTTAAGTGCAAATTACCCTTGCACAAAACCTTGCTTCGGCCTTGTGCAAACCTTGCGTGATGCAGGTTTTAGACCACCAACGATCAATAAAATGTAATGCTACTGTAAATAGTAGCGTTCTTGCTCCTAGTAGCGATGCCAGGAGCCCCTAGTAGCGTTCTTGCTCCTATGTGCAGGGTTTTTGGACGACTCCCATCTGAAAACTGCCGCTGGGGATCTGATCTATTCAGGATGTTGGGGTTGCGCATCAAGGTTTGTATGTCTTACGTAGGTGTACAGTTTACAGTTTACAGTACAAGTACAGTAGCATGAACATGGTTGCCAGTTCGTACAGTCAAGTCTTGCATGCAACGCCCAGCTGCATGAGTCGTTCCGCGGCCGGCAGCGCCTCACATTCAGCTGGATCGACATACCGCTTGCGGTATCTAAAAGAGCCGATGTTGGTAGCGTGAAACATGATATGTTCAAAAAGTGGTTGCCTGGTGGGTGCCAAGGTTCGTGGTCTTCCCATTTGGCAGGTTCAACTGGAGAAACTGCAGCAAGGCGGATGGAGGGAATGTGATAAAAACCACCTGACCCAAGCAAGATTCTCGAATTGAAACAATGATTATAACACTGTTTAATCCCTAGACGCCCAGCTGACCATAGACGTTCCTCCTAAAACCTCACCCTGCGCTGACCTCAATGGGGCTGAGATGAGCGCTTTTTGCTGCAACTGATCACCCTGGAAACCCAAACAACCAGAAACAAATGGTTGTTCCAATATGGCAATTGAAATCCTTTACATAGGAAATGGTTGTTTGGGGAAACATCCATTTCTTTCTGGTTGTTTGGGGTTCCAGGACCATGGTATTTTCGCACATTTGTTGATTGACCCGATGGCCGATTCATCCCGGACCTGTGCTCAGACCACCTGGAATTCTCCTCAGAATTCAAGAATCGATTTCGCAAAGGTCTTGTCTAACAGTCCAACATAGTCCAACCTTTTCACATCCAATCGGTACCACAACAGGTCAATTCATGCAAAACAACGAAAAGCAAGATGCTGCGGACTCTTGGACACTATCAGCCACTTCCGCAAGCCAACAGAGTCAACCAGTTTGAGGCCCTGCAAGACATGCCAACGCTCCCACACTGCGAACGCAGGTCCCACACCCCACTGCTGCGCCAGCAGTTCCCGCCTTGGACTTCAAGCGATTCTTCTCCATCACCTGCGAGGTCCCACGCAACGAGCTCGGGAAGATCGGCCATCTTCTCAGCTACAGGTGCTGCAGGCGTTGCGTGCTGCAACTGAGCTTGCCAATTCAGGATAGATGGCACCCCCCCGGGTTCGTATGGTGATTCAGTTTCAGGGCGCCCGGGCCAGTGATGTTCGGGGCCATCGTGGGCCATCTAAACCTACCAAAGGACCTGGTAAGACTTGGATAGACTTGGCGGTTAAGCTCCCAAAACGCCCAAAACCTGGCGTCTGTCCTCTTCCTGGTCGGAGAAAGCCCATCCGGTCGGCTATTCCCCCAATGCTTGACCGGCCAGAGCACCAGTGCGCCAAAGCAAAGGCGAGTGAACAACGGACAGGTCCCGCCTCCTTCTGTTGCTGCACCTGTGGGGGGAACGAAGGAGAGCAATTTGGAGAGATGTGATCTCTGATGTTTTAAGGTTTAGAATCCAATTCCGAAGACGAAACCGTTGGCTGTATATAAGGATGTACACTCATATGGGCTCATATGGGCTCCATGGACTCAATACTAGTCTGGAGGGTCAGTCTTCCGTCCCGCTGTCAGCTTCCGAATTGGAGTGTGGTCCCCGGGTGTCCGAAGAGCCAAAGCTCAGCTGGTCCAGCTTCATGGACAAACAGCATCCGAACTGGTCCACATGGGTTGTGCAAGCTCCGTCCTTGCACAAGACCCAAACGCGCGACAGGAAACTAAGTCTAAACCTGGTTGGCCAAGCTAGCTTGATTGATCTAGCTTCGGGAGAAACAAAAAGAAAACTCTAGCTCGCACCTGATACTTCCTGCGAAGCCAAAACCCACGCATCTTCCCAGCCTCAACCAACCCTCAAAACATCTTAAGACCCTTTTCAATCCTTTTCATCACTTTTCCCTTGCACAGCCCTCTCGGGTCTCGGGTCTTGCATGTAGTTCATCACCATTTACCAGCCGGAACCGGATGCCTTCGAGAAACGCCTGAAAAGCCATCAACTGTAGCGATGTCAAAAAAGTCCATGATTTCCGGCTACGAGTTTGCTCAATGTTCACACATAAATCAGTTTTCGTCCTGTTTCAGGGTGTTCAAACACCAAGGGAACCAGTAGGGTTTCTCAAACAAACCATAGATAATGAAATTGCACTTTACAAACCTGGTCTAAAAGTGCTACAAAGGCCTTAATGCAGTGGAAAGTACTAAACCTATGGGCAGCGCCACCTATGAACACGAGGTGGTGAGGTGGGAATGTAGTGCAAGTTGCTGTTCTGAACCAAAAACATGAAGTCTGGACATAACTTGACAAAGCAGTCAGAAAGTGAAGAATCCCAAAGAGCAATCACACAATTTTGAACTTAAACGCCAACAAGTGGCAAATGTAATCCAAACTGCAGCACCTTTTCTG